CAGAAGTTGTCCTCTGTCCTCCACACAGGTACTATTGCACATGTCCCCTCACACCTACCATAGACACAATGCTAATAATAAATAGCACATGTGAAAGTCAAAATATGACACATACTCAATTTCCATGGAGGAAAACTGAGCAAGTCTAATTCATACACATAGAGGTAAAGCTGGGAAGCACCTATGTGAAAACATTGACAGGGATTATCCCCAGGGATAGCATAATAGGGGATGATTATCTTCCACTTTATGTTCATTCCTATTCTAGCTTTTCTGTAACAGCATGTAAGACTAAAGTATAGAAAGGAAAATGAAGAGAACATGTTGAGGGTCTGGTAAAGGCACTAGCTGCCAAGACTAAGGACCCGACTCCAGCAAATTATGCTCTGACCTCCACCTGCATGTTGTACCACCAGTACTCCTACACACACACACACACACACACACACACACACACACACACACACACCAGGTTTGTTGTTTTTTTTTTCTAAAATAAGTATAGGGGTACAATTTTTTTTCTAATTAAAATTATTAGATTTTATTTACTCAGTGTATGTGTGTGTCCATGAGTAGCAAGGTGCATGTGTGGAGATCAGAGGACAACTTGAGAGAGTCAGTCCTCTCCTTCTTCCATATGTGGATCCTGAGTATCAAACTTATCGCAGGCTTGGTGACCAGTACCTTTATCACTAAACCATCTGGTTAGCCTCGATTTCTCTTTCTCTTTCTTCGATGCTTTTTCCAAAGCAGTGCCAATAAACGTGAAGAGAAATTCCCTAAGGAGACCCTGTGTTGCTTTGCTGTCATGTGTCTACTCTTTTGACTAGTCTTTATCTCATTTCGAGGTGCCAACAGGAGCACTAGGTAGGCATGAGAAATGTAACACATATGAGATTATCTTTTTGAGATAGGCATTTATAGCAGGAAATCTGAGTGGCCAGTTGTGGTAGGGCATTCCGAATTATGATGGGAGAACAGAGTTCTGTGATAGCAGACGGGGAGAAATCTAACCCAAGTTTATGATACATAGGTTGTCCCCTAAGAAAAAGAAGAAGTTTAATTTGATGAAAATACCTTATCACTCATTTTCTCTAACCAAAGTTCATACATATGCCATTGGCTCTTATCAATATTCTTACCGTTCATAATTTGGTCCTATCCCATTATCTTACTAATTTCCACATGTAACCTTGAAGACATGGGCTTTGTCTATTTAATACTGCATTCTCATACTAGCAAACTGTCTGCTCTAACATGGAAAGTCCATAGCATTTTGAAAATAGAGAGACTTTAACAGCCACACACAGTATTACAACTGTTTCCTCTGCATGAGTTGGAGATTCTTAGAGATAGAGCGAGTGTTTCATTCTTTACCGTAACAAAGCTGGGCTTCTTCGTGCTAACCCTCCATTGGTGGTCCTGTTCTATCTCTGATGTTAAATCAGCTTCCTTGTACCTGCGACTGGCTTCTCATTTCTGGTCTTGTTTTCTTCATCTTTTACCCTCATTCACTTTAGAGCTACATTGCCATGATCACATTCTGCCCTGCTCCTCTGATTGACAGCATAATTTGGACTTAATACAGCTCTGGGATGCCCTCAGTATCACCTGCAGGACACCATTTTCACACCTTCATGTTGGGACAGGAAATACTATCTGTTTGCTCACTCATACTTCTCAGTTCATGTATCCCCGAGGAAAGGGGGCCCAGGTAAGTCTTCCAGTAAGTGTCCCAGATATAAGAATTATTCCCCTGAATTCAAGATTTTCAAGGTAACTGTTTCAAATGTTGTCAATTTTACATTGGAAGTCAGTTTAAGAATACTACTTAATTGAGAAAATGTACTTCACATATACTTTGTGAGCTGTATTTGTATAACTACTTCCTCCAAAATCTTGTATAGGCCCCATGGGGGGAGGGGAGTGGTAGTCTGGGCCCAGGGAAGGTTTATATTATGTTCTCTATTATTCTATTACAGATATTGATTTTGATGCAGTCATTTTTTTTATAATTTTCCTTCCTTATAAGACATAGAGAGTGTGCCTACGGTTTGCAGCTTCTGTCCTTTCCAGTTGACATTACAAACCTGAAATGTCTATCTTTTTTGTTTGCAGGGGGAGCTGCACTTGAGATGGGATCTCCTGTAGCCCAGGCTGGTTTCAAACTCTCTGTGTAGACACAGATGACCTTCTGTGGCTAATCTCCTTCTACCTCCCAAGTATTGTGATCACAGGCCTGCAATTTCTTTTCATCTCATCATTTTACTGGCTCCCACAGGTGGTATTGGGAGGCAGTAAAAGAGAAAGGAATTGAACTCACAGGAATGATGCTTTCCAAAACACTTTCAAGCACTTGGGTTTCTGCTGACAATATGTAGGGGGTGGCAGGAAGATAGATGTTCTATGGTTAAACCCAACCCAACTCCTACCTTTCTTGGATAACAACTTTCCTTTCTCTAGTTTCTTTAAACTCTATTTGTCAAAACCTACTTATTCTTCCATGTGAGATGTTTGTTTGTGTGAAAACTCTCCAATGGCTTTCTTCCATTCACACACTTCAGTAATTGTTCTGGTCAGTATTTCCTGGTACTCATTTATGAAAGTAAGCATGCATATGTCACACATTTTATGCCCCTCATTGTTGTATGCACAATATTAATTTCCTTTTAACACTTTACTTTCAACCACTTTAATTCTCACAATTCTATCTTAGTAGATAGATACTTTTACCATCCCAATCTTAGCAAGGAAAATAAGCACCATTATCAGAGAAGGTAAGTTTTAAATGGTGAGTTCACAGATGCCAAACAGACCCAGCAATTGTTCCACATGAACTGAGTGGCACGCATAAAGGCCTGAAGGCATGATAGCATTGGATATGATTGTTCATTAACGTATTAAGTCACAGGGCTGGGCCTTGGCTACAGGCCAGCTACTGTACTTCGTTTGTAATTCAGGCAGTGATAAACAGATGGAGGGGAGAAGATGGTGCTGCCAGCAGTCTATTCTCATTGGTGTACAAAGCCTGCAGAGCAAAAGTAAGCTGGGTTTGTTCATGAAAGTACCACGTGCATTGGCAGGCAACTGGGACTTCATCCATTGTGTGCTGGGTACATAGAAGAGCTTGAATAGAGGGATGAGAAGGTGACTATATCTGCCCATGCAATGTCATGAAGTGATCCCTTCCTTCTTAAAAATATAAAGTGCTTTGAACTTATTATGTGTTTTCTCAAGATTTAATTAAAACTGGATTTGCATTAAGCACCTGTAAATTCCTAAATGAGCAACAAGATCCACTGTTGAGTCTTTGGAGACTCTGTGATTTCTAAAAGACACTTTATGCTTGAAAGTATTCAGTGATGCATGTAGAACTGACTTTCTCTTACTAATTTGACTCTGACTCCCCCCTACAAACGTCTGTCTTTTTTGCTTTAGCAGATTAAAGTGCAGCGGAAATGTACCAACACAGTGACATTTTCTATTTGCAGTAGGTCATGCAAGATCACCTGCCCTCTAGACTACATCTTGAGAACACAATTTAATCAGTGCATTTTCAAAAGCCCAGGGCATATCCTATCATACAGGAATTGTAAAGTCCACTGAAAAACACTGTAACTATAGAACATGTTTGGTTTCTTAAAGTTCTATGAGGAAAATAATTATATTTGAGCAAGAAGATGTGTATCTGTATATGTGGTTATATCTTGAAGTCATCATCAGTAAAGCATGAAAAGTACTTTATTATACTCAGCTAATTTTTAAATATATATCCTTTTCATTTTGTATCCTTCTACCAGACAAACAAACAAAAAAGAAATATAAATAACTCATGTAAGGTGGTTAATCTTGTAGGTCGATCAATGCTGATTTAGGGCTGCATTCTTACAGCAGTCAAGATATTTTTCTTTGGAAAAAGAAATCTACCATGTTTTGCCTTCTCTCATAATGAAGTAAGTTTTTTTTTCTATTTTTCAAGCATTCCTTTTTTTCTTGATGCCTTTTATTCTGCACCCTTAAACCCAGATAATTGTATTCATTCATAAAGTAATCTGAACACATTTTAAATGACATTTACAAATATTCCCATAACACTATCAGTGCCCTTCAACATGAATGAAATTCAATGTTCCCTCTATAGGGGCCTTGAACATTACCCAACTTATCACTGGCACATCTATCATAGAATGAAAGGATGCTGTGGAGATGCATAGTTGACCAGTACTATTTGTAGAGCATCTTCCCCCCCAAAAAAATAGCAGTGTCATTTTAACCTTGAAAGGTGAAAAGTGATTTTTGTATAATGATGAAATTGATCGTGTTATCCTCTTCTGTTTTTTTTTTTAATCACAGGTGCTATTCCATCTAGATTAGATCAGAGGAAGTTGAAATAATCCACTGCATAGTAGATTGTATCTTTCTTCCTATCACAGTAGAAATTTTCCATTTATTTAAAAATTTCAAGAGTATTGTGATTGCTTCTGTTTCTCTTCTCCATCATCATATGCCAAGAACTCAGTCAGGTGCAAGAGTCAAAAGAGTTAGCAACTGGTTTGCTACAGGCATTAATCAATTAAAATGGATGTTCCTTGAATAAACCATATTGTTGTGTACTCACAGCTCAGCACCTAGCATGGAATGGAGAATACAGTAAGTCATTTGCAAACAACTGCCAAATAAATAGATAGATGGACAAACTAACTAACTCGCCAGACAAAGCCACCTTCCATTCAGCTTTAAATTATTCAATAGTTTAATTTTATTCAGTCACTTTAGGAATCCCTATACTTCAAGCCCTTTCTAAAAAGTTAGTTAAGTATTCAGGAAGGGAAATGGAAAAAACAGAAAGTTCAAGAAAAATAATCTGTATCTACACAATTCTTACAATCTAGTGTAATAAGAAATGAGATACTTTCATTAATACTGATATAAAAACGTAAAAGGAAACAGTACTTTTAATTAAGTTTTCAGGGCAACTGAGATTCAAAGTAGATCTGTTGGATTCCAAAAACCATAAGCATCTACCATGTAAAGTGAAGACTTTGAAACTGCAAAGATCTGGATTTGAATCTCAGCTCCAGCATGACCTTGGTGAGGTAGCCGTGGTAAAATTATTAAATCATTTTCATAATCATTTTCTTCTTAAAATAGCTATCAAATATCATGTGAATTATAAATAAAATGTTATAATATGTAACACAAATGTTTTACATGGTAGACACTTTTCATAGATTAATCTTTATCATAAATGAAACTTTGTATTAATATATATTAACTTGGAATATGGAATATGGCTAATCATAAAAAGTCTATTATTAAACGGAAAGCAGATTACTATCATAAAAATTTTAAATTAGACACAGAATATACTATTGGAGTCAGGGCAGACCCAGCAATAAGAGTTATCATGTGACTTATTAGTTCTGTGTATGAGAGCATGGTATCTCATACCGTCAAACCTCTAACTTTTCTCATCTATAGAGTGGAGTTACACAGAATACAACAGATCGTTGTGTGAAATAAAATGAAAAGAAAAAGTGATTGCCACATTGTACATGTTTCAAACATGGGGAACTTTAAAGAGCTCTGAATGAAAATGGTAAAAATCCTCTCTTTCCATTTGAAAACTAGAATCCAAATTGATGAAATTCTTGCCTTCCCTAAAACTACTACCAATTTTTTCAATTAAACTATATAATAGGATTATTGATGTCTTTAGGAGACTTGAAGGGAGTAAAAGAACTTATTAGATACCATATATACAAAATTCCACACTTTGTATGTTTGAAAATGTTAAGTATCACTGGTTGTTCTAGGAATAGCAATCTCCTACATGTATCATCAAGGGCAATTCAGTGCAGGGAATTCTTGCATCTGGATTACTAAAAGGATGCTAAGATAATGGTGTGAGCAAAATATTGGGAATAATATTAAGTATTAAATTTTGACACTTCTCAACAAAGTTATCCTTGGCAAATTAACCAATCTTGTACATCTACAAATTAAAAGTGTAAATTCTTTTTGTGCTAATCATTTTTGGTGTACGTGTGTGTACGTGTGTGTGTGTGTGTGTGTGAGAGAGAGAGAGAGAGAGAGAGAGAGAGAGAGAGAGAGAG